TTTCAAGGGCCCGGTAGGGGTATATGCAAAAGATGACAGGTCCAATTCAATTTGGCTAGTGGGGTATTTCGCGGAATTTCACAACCCCTACTCCAGCATCTACAATCTCACATCGCCCACCTATCCAATACCATCCACAACTCGCAGCAACCACCCATAGCCCGTCATTACTAGTTGTGAGCAGTGTGGGTTGGAAAAGGCCGAAGAAGTGAAGTTTGGGCGAGGGGTAGGGAGGGCGATGGGCGAGACTGGGGATGTATGACATTGTAGGCGGGGGGCCGACTATTGAGAGCAGGAGCAGGGTCAGGGTTGAGTAGCGTGAGGCGGGGGATTGTATTTCGGGGAGACGGTGAGGAGAGTTAGGGCATACTCACACGAGGACCAAAAGACCCAAAATCCCAAAATTTGAGTCGTTTTTCGGGTCACACTGGAGAGGCTCGCTACCCAAATGCCTCAAACGGTGACCCTTCTGTCAGCGGCCCGGGGCCGCGGGCGGACCCTTTTTGAGACCACCTCCGGAGGTGGTCTCAAATTACCTTTCTTTTTTTTTTTCTGTGTTCGTGAATTGAAAAGAATAGTAGAAGAAGACAACAGCCCGCCAAACAACTGAAAATGCGACCAGGAACATTTGCGTTGTAGCGATGTCCACACGGTGAAAAAAAAACTAAAAAAATTTCCATCTTGTTGTTTGGTCCTCCCGCGTGTGACCGGGCGCACTTGCCCTGAATGCGAAGTGTCAGGGTCGCAACTTCGTCCTTTCTGGAAGAGGTCCCGTGTGACCACACGGGGACCAGATGCCTCAAATTTTTGAGACTTTTGGCAAATGCCTCAAAAAAGGCGAACCAAATGCCTCAATTTTTTTAGACTTTTGGTCCCTCACACAGGGACCAAAAGTCTGAGGGACCAAAAGTCTAAATAATTTGAGGCATTTGGTTCGCCTTTTTTGAGGCATTTGGTGCCCGTGTTGTCACACAGGCGGACCTCGTCCAGAAAGGATGAAGTCGCAACCCTGACACTTCGCACTCAGGGCAAGTGCGCCCGGTCACGTGCGGGAGGACCAAACGAAAGATGGATTGTTTGAAAAAGAAAAAATTAACGCTTGGGCCTTATCTACAACTTAAATGTACTTGGTCGCACTTTCAGTTGTTTGGCGGGCTTATCTACAACTTAACGCTTGAGCCTCTCCAGTGTGACCCGAAAAATGACTAAGGGCATACTCACACGAGGACCAAAAAACCCAAAATCCCAAAATCTGAGTCATTTTTCGGGTCACACTGGAGAGGCTCGCTACCCAAATGCCTCAAACCGTGACCCTTCTGTCAGCGGCCGGCGGGGCCGCGGGCGAACCCTTTTTGAGACCACCTCCGGAGGTGGTCTCAATTGACCTTTCGTTTTTTTTTTTTCCAACGCAAAAATTCGTCTACAAAGCAGGTCTTCACTTCCAACTGTCGGGCGTGGCTGCACGTCTCTCCACATACACAAAAGACAAATGAGATGGCAATGTATCTTTCCATGTTCTAGCGCTGGATTCAGTCTCATTTTGCACATTTGCACCCAAGGCCCAGGCGTTTTCGTTTTTTTTGTTTTCTTTTTTTTTGGCCCATGCATTATTTTGGCATGAAGAAAAAATAAAAAATCCATCTACTGTTTTAGTCCTCTGCCGTGTGACTACACACACTTGCCCAGAGGGCGAAGTGTCAGGGTCGCGACTTCATCCTTTCTGGACGAAGTCTGCCCGTGTGACCACACGGGGACCAAATGCCTAAAAAAAACCGAACCAAATACCTCAATTTTTTTAGACTTTTGGTCCCCGTGTGAGTATGCCCTTAGTAGAGATAAAAAGGGTGCGGGGGGCAGGTGTGGCTTCTCTCACTGTTGCTGTAAGGTCCCTTCCTGATGTGCTTGTCCTCGTGTGTTCTCCTGCGTCAGAAGAGGTGTCGACTGCTGTTCTGGTATTCTTCTATCGCCTCCTGGCTCCCGTACGAACCCTGAGGTTGTTCTTCCACCGAGCCTTCTTGTTGTCTGCACTTAGGGTAGAATCTTGGGCAGGTGCTGAAACTTGTACGATTTCCGTTATCCGCCTTGGCTCCTGGTGCTGGCAACTGGCACCACCTTGAAACACGCCAGAGTATCCCCTGGCCGTACGTGCAAGGATTCAGGGCGCGCGTGTGACGCCCTAACCTCACGCCCAGCGCGACTTCCTGATCGGAGTAGGATGTGGGCCTGGAAGTGCAAAAAGGGGTGTGCCAAGGATTTTTGGGAAAGTGGGGGAGTCTTAAGGGTATGAATGCAACTAGGCGAATGAGGGGTGCGCACGCAAGGGTCTCATGGTCCGAACGGGCCGGGACCCTGTGGCCGGCCACGGGACAACACTGAGTTGATGGTACGGGAGAAGAAGGCAGAAAGGAGGGAAACTGGTGGTGATGACAACAAATCCCGGGTGGGTGAAGTAGTAGGTGTGGTCGGGAGAAGGGAAATCGGAGCACCGAGGGTCGCTAGAGGTGGCGCAGTGAAATTCCCGCGGACATAGCCGATTCTCCGTGTGACAGGGGTATCGCGTCCTTATGAGTTCGTTTATCATAGGGGTGAAATAGTCCGGGTCATAGGATGAGTCTGAGTTCCAAGATCGCGTCATGGTATCATTGTGGATGGGTCCGCTTGGGAGGGATGTCGTCACCACGCACGAGTACGCGCAGGGCAGGCAGCCTCAGTGGCGCCTCAGCGTGCTTGTGCGGGATGATGGTTCCGCCGCGAATCTTTTTGGGGGAGCGGATCGACGCACGGGAACGCGTGTAAGGGCGCGACTCGGATCGCGTTCACACGTGCTCTCGCGCGGCGTTCGTGGGGTCAATCCTCATATCGTTTAATTGCTTCGGATTATGCAAGATGCGACCATATCACAACCCCCAGCGCGAGATAAGCAAAAACGAGGACAAAATCGCTATYGGTGCCTGATCCTCATCCCATCTAYAGCTGCAYYAGGCRTGAGYAGAGGTTTGACACAAACAAAAGGTAAGGACCGGGATTCTCAACAGTGATATAGATGCGCAAGCATATCATCCATACATCCATTCGTTCAACAATCATACACGTCACGCAATCGAGATGGACAAGAAGCGAGGACAAGTGTGAGCAAAAACCCAAGTCTCGATTCCCGAAAGCCAAAAACGAAAATGAGAATGGGCAAACCGCCCGGAGTCGTAATCAAAATGTATGTACACAGATGAAGAGGGGGAAGAGACAAAGAAACAGCAAATCCACGTCCATCGACCTCAACTCTCTCTCCTTCTCTCTCTCTCTCCGATGCGGACAGTCCGTCATCACGCACCAACCCACGAAGGTGTCACCCCGCTTAGTCCTCCCGCACCCGTCGGATTCGCTCGTGCCCACAGTCCGTCGTGGCCCACGTCAATCCCGCGCGTTCGGCACCAGCCCGCCGGGTCGCCCACCTCCTACTCTACTCACCTCTTGCTTCGCTCGTGTGCCGACCCTTCCCGATCGCGCAACCCCGAGCTTCCAATAACGGATTAAGAGAGCTGACTAATCGCGCAGTCGAAATTTATAGCGTGCATGCATGCGCGAAGAACACGGAATTACCAGGACTTAGAGTGAGGATTAGAGAGGGAACGCCTGCGTTTTGCATGATCGGCCGCGGCGTGGGGGACGTAGCCCTTCTCCACGCGTCAATCCGAGCATGCAAGTCGCGGCTTACAAAATTTCAGCAAAAGAAAGAGAGGGAGGGCGGGAGAGACGAAGTGCAAGAAGAAAGATACAGTTACAAGGGTGCCCGCCCAAAATTACAGTTACACACGCGATTAAGAGCGCCCACTAATCAGAGTACTGTTACAGCCGCATGAAAAAGCGCGTAGACAAAAGGCGCAGTGCGGCTGGAAAAAGTCCTAATTACTGAATTCCTAAATTCCTATCTAATGCGGAAAAGCAAAAAAGTATACGTTCCAGAAAGAAAGTCCAAAATCCCGAGAGCCATCGGGGCTCGACAAAATTCGAAAAAGATTCAAAAGAAAATTCAAAAGAACGAAGCAATTTCCCGCGCGATGTCCGCGCCCAAAAGATCGAACCGGAAACGAAAAGAACGACGTCAACATTTATTAATTGCGCGCGTGGTGGCGCACCAGACATCCATCCGACCAATCTTCCCACGAGCCGTCCTAGGACACACCCAGCCCCGAAGAAGCGACGAAAAAGACAAAGAAGCAAGGGTACTGATGCAATTTTCCACCGATCCCGATTTCCCGTAAGTGGCCCAATCTTCCGAGCTTAGGACCCCTCGTTGCAACCGCGCAGAAACTCGCGCGTTACAGAAAGTGGTTCGTCACATATGTGACGCCCAGGGGGTTCCAATATTAGGAAGCTCCTGCTTGCTTGTTGACACGTGTCGACTTCTCTAATCGACTGACACGCGGAGCACTTCACTTTATGCCACTTACCGTTCGATTGCGTGTGGACGTCATCCAACATGGCAACTCTGCTCTTCTACTAGTTCCTCAGATTGGGCTCTTCGACGATCCAAGGATGGGATCTTTCTCGTGCCGTCGCCGCGACACGCGTCCATTACCGCTGCATCAGTAATTAACCAGAAGGGGGAAGGGGAGGCGATACGTGTATGAGGGAGGGCGGGGCGGCTCCATCGTAAGTTCGGGTATGAAGCGCCCCATCGGAGTGAGGTCGTAGGGAAGTTCTTGAAAACGGACAATGCGATGGAAGCGGGGGAATCTCTGGCCGCTGCGAGGAAGGGAAGCGAGGTAGTCTGGGTAAAGGGATACGAGGGTTCGGAGGACGTTTGTGCGGAACCGATCATGGTTCTCGCACGAGGGGAAGGTCCCCGTAACGATGCAGTAAACCTCTATATGGTTACGGCCTCGCCACGCGGCGCTAAGGAGCAGAACGTGGAGGGAGTAGTCGGGGACAACACACCGGACGGAGGGGTGGGGGTGGACAGTCAGTTCTAGGCGAGCGGAGTAAAAATGTCGGAAGGTGGCGATGGGGAAGGGATTACAGGGGAAGACGATGCGATGGAAATACTGATTGAAAGAGAGATAGCTAAGGGGATGGTGGTATATGGATCGGGGACGAAGGGTTGAGCCCCTCATTGACACGTTGACGAATTGGGGGACGGACGGAGGCGGAGGGGGACCTGGATCGGGATCGGGATCGGCGCCTTGTCGTCGCGGCTCCCGAGGTCGTGGCAGCAAGGTCCCCATGTTCCGGCTTGGGTGGCTCGGGATTCTTGAAAGGATTGTTTAGTGCGGGATCGATCGCCAACCGTTTTCCTTCCGCGATCTCTTTCTTGCGCTGCGCAGCAGCCTCCGGGTTCTCCTCTCGCCGATCCGGCCCTGGCACCCACTCGAGCTCGTCGTGCGTTGGCTCCTGGTTGTCCTCGCTTTCCACTTCTTCGTCGTCTTCCTCCTCCTCACTTTGCTCGCCCTCGCTGTACTCGCTATAGGCCTCTTTCTCTTCCTCCGAAGTCTCCTCTTCTGCGTCTTCTTCTTCTTCTTCTTCTTCTTCTTCTTCTTCTTCTTCTTCTTCTTCTTCTTCTTCTTCTTCTTCTTCTTCTTCTTCCGCCGACTCTTCTCCTGCTTCACGCTCTTCTTCCTCGTCCTCGGCCAATCGCACCGCTGCTTCCCCGGCCTCTCTCCTCAATTCTCCTTCCGATTCCTCCTCGTCCTCCTCTTCTGCTCTCAGCGCTGCCCACTCGAACGCCGTTGGTTGCCGAAAGAAGCGGGGATTAGTCAGGTTGTGGACGTCCAGGTACTCGCTACGGGAAGGAAAACGGTCGTCCGCCCAGCGCTCCTCGATACAAGCCGACCACTGGAGGCTCGGGGCGAGAGTCCTTGAGAGGGTATGTGGCACGGGTTCTTCATCGCTCTGAGAGACGATGTCGAGGGGGAGTTCGTCGGCCAATCGTGCGATCACGATCGTAAGTTCGCGCACGATCTGTAATCGGTTTCCCCGATCCACTGCTCCAAAGATGAATCCTAGAAGATCTCCCGCCACGTTGGTCCTCCACGCCTGAATGACGAGCAACTCCACAATCTCCAACGCAAATCTCTGATCGCCTTCCCACGTCCAGTTCAGATCCACTTGTAGCAGGCAAAACGAGAGCTCGACGAATTCTGTACGCCACAACCACCAACGGTCCGGATCAACGATGGGTACTGTCAGTGGCTCCAGACGAAAGGAGAGACGAGGGTAGTGAGAGGACTGCCAGAAGATGGGGAAGAGGGAGGGAGGAGAGAACGTCGAGATCGGCGTGCGGCTCATCTACGTGGCTGGAAGGGGGCAAGTTCTGGGAGGACAACAGGTGGCTCTCTTAGCGTCGTGCGCAGCGTGTGGACTTCGATGCCGTCGTTAGGATAGCACTCGTCACCGTGCCTTGTGAGCCGTCGATCCCAATCAGTGGCCAGATCGCGACCCACCGGTACAAGGTGCTTTTGATGGCAGCTTGCCGCGCCGGATCGAAGGCGGTGATGTCGCTGCTGAAGACTACCACGGTAGACACGTGGCTGATTCCCGGGGCCGCTCGGCGTTGGAACACCGTTGCCTCGGCCAACACCACTACCTGGGGATCGCTCGTGAATCGGAACTCTGCCGCGCCGTATACACCCGCAGTGCAGAAGAACTGTGCAAGGCGCATGAAGTCGGGGCTGATCCGCGGATGATGTACTTGGCGGATGGTTGAGATCTCTCCCCGTGGCATCAGCAACTAATTACTGAAAGCTCGCTCGATGGCGAAACTCATGGCGATGGCGGGGGTGACGGGGTGGCAGAGAGGGAGCAAGAAAGGGAGGGAGATGGTGGAGAGTCCGAGCCGTCGTCGTCGGCTTCCTCAGAAAGAGAGATCGAGGGAGAGGGAGACGGATCAGAGGGAAGGAGGTGAAGATAGGACACGTGGCGTGTGATCGGATGAGCCGATCGACTGCCAGAGACTTCAGGGGCGAGGCGCACGGTGTCCACGCTGTTGGGGCCGAGCTCGATCACGCGATATCGCCCAAAGAATCGTGGTGCTAGCTTACCCTGGCGAGCACATTTCCTCACCTGCACCACGTCCTCCAATTTGTATTGGGGCCACGGACCCACATTCCCATTTCGGGCTTCGTAACTCCGGACCTGTCGGCCCTGGGCTAGTTCGGTCATTTTCTGTCGCTTTCGGGCTAGCCTGGGCAGCGACCGTTCCATTAACTCTAGGTGCCGTTTGGCCTTGTCCTGAGCCGTGGCCGTGGTGGGCCGTCGGTTTAATGTAGTCTCATCTGGGAGGCTCGGTATCGAAACACAAGCGACACTATTGGTCCTTAATTGGAAGGGGCTTAGCCTCGTCGATTCGTGGGGCGTTCCGCGATGGACTGCCAGGAAGTGATCGACGATATCGGGCCAAGGTCTCGGATCTCGTGCCGCGATGTTTCGTTGCAACGCTGTCTTTATCACCCGGTTAGCGTTTTCGACCAACCCGTTGGACTGTGACATGTGAGGCGCAGTGTTCCGTATGGCAACGCCGTGTAGGACCAGACTCCTTAACACTTTTCCCCTGAATTCGGCCCCATTGTCGGTTAGGATTTCCTCCGTATCCTGATGCATCCCGAGGAGAAAACGGTTGACATATCGCGCGATTTTTGTGGCTTGCCGCGTGCGAAAAGGATACGCTTCGATCCATTTCGAGAAATGGTCGACAAATACCAGTAGGACTGAATACTCGCAACTATTAGGGCCAGGGGGCACCATTATGTCGGTGGTGTCCATGCTCACTCTTTGAAATGACCGTTCAACAACCGTGGGCACTATCGATCTTGGCGGCTGAATCGGCGCTTTATCAGCGGCGCAGACCTGACAGTTGGCAATGATGTACTTCACGTCGTCGCGAATATTGGACCAATACCACTCATTTTTGTCGATAGCGGACTCTGTGATTCGTACGGCAAAATGAGCCGCAGTTTCCTCGTGGGCTGTCTTAACCCTGTCATACCACATAAGCGGATGCGGCACTACCATCCAAATCCCACTGCCATCCGTTTTCCATTTTTCTAATCTACCCTCTTCCCATCGATAATCCCGAACCCTTTCGTTGGCCCTCCTCCGATCTTCTTTGGTGAAATCCTGGAGGGGGTTACCTACTAGGGTGGCAATTAAGGCAATATCCGTCCATACTTCGACACTTCTAAACTTTCGGGTCTTTTCCAATCCTTCTGACGTGGCATCCAAAAATCGAGCCTCGATAGGAATCTTGTCGGTCCGGCACAAGGGGCACAACCATAATTTACTATCGTTTCTGTATTGGATGCACGAGCCATCGGCTCGTGCAACACACTGTCGGCAATCTATCCAATCCGCATACCCCTCCCCGTTAGGACGCATGGGGACCGAATATACGCGGGAAATAGCTTTGCAAAAATAGCAAAATTTGTCGGGCAGGGAGAGGAGAGACGAAGAGGAAGGGGGGGAGAGAGGGGTAGTGGGGTTACCTCCATCACCCATCGTCGCCACTTTACTTCTTGCCACGTGGAAGAACTGCCACTTGTCTGTATTTCGGCTCGTTGGTCAAGTCCGGCTCCTTCCACGGTGTAATTTCCTCACCCTTTGGTACCTTGGCAGGCCGGTGGAGACGTGTCAGCCCGTCCGCGTTGCCGTGTCGCTCTGTCTTTCGATGGACGATATCGAAATCGTATTCTTGTAATCGCACCGCCCAACGGCCAATCATGCCCGTGTAGTTGGTGAGTTTCTTCAGCGCCAGCAGCGGCTCGTGATCCGTTACGAGGCGAAACTTCTGTCTGTAGGGATACGGATGGAAGTGTTGGATTCCCCAAACTATTGCATAGCACTCACCCTGAGGTGCGGAGTCGTTTCTTCGTTCGTCTGGTACGGTTCGTGACGCGTACTCGATGACGTGTTCGCGACCATCGTTCCCCTTCTGTGCTAAAATAGCGGAAATAGCTTCGGTTGCCAGTCCGTGATGAGAATGAACTGTTTCGAGGGGTCCGGTCGAATCAAAATAGGGGCCATTGCCAGAGCGTCCTTGAGAGTTGCAAAAGCCTGCTGGCACTCCGCGTCCCAGCTGAGGGGCTGGTCCTTCCGCAACAGATTCATTAGTGGTCGTGCAATCGCGGGAAAGCCCTTGATGAAGCGCCGATAGTACGACGCCAGCCCCAAGAAGGCTCGAACCTGCGTCAGGGACGTGGGAACCGGGGCTTCCTTCACCGCCGCAACTTTTCTCGAATCCGGCCGCAATCCCCCACGTGTCACAACGTAGCCTAAGAACGAAATTTCCGAGAGAAAAAATTCGCTTTTCTCGAGCGCAATCTTGAACCCAGCATCTCTCAGTGCGCCCAATGTCCACTCGATGTGTTGCGCGTGCCCGTGATAGGTCTCCGAATAGACTAGGATGTCGTTCATGTACACGATCACACAGAAGTTGATCATCCCTTGTGTCAGCCGTGTCTTGTTGACGAAATTCTGGAACGTCATGTTCATCGCTCGCTGGAACGTGGCAGGCGCATTGCAAATCCCCATCGGACACTGAACTCACTGCCACGTGCCCTCAAACAATACAAAGGCCATTTTCGGTCGATCTTCTTCCCTTACCAGAATATGATGGAAGCCATGTCGAATATCAAACTTGCTGAAATAATTAGCGCACCCAATCGCATCCAACAAATCATCAATCCGGGGGAGGGGATACACATCTTTGATCGTGATTTCGTTCAACTTTCGATAATCAATGCAAATGCGAATTGCCCCGTTTTTCTTTGGTACTAATACTACGGGAGCGAACTCCTGAATTCGTTCGAGAGTTTTTTTGCATTCCATCAGAGAATACCGATAGGGTTTGCAATGAATCGGGGAGTGATTTCCTGTCTGAATTTCATGTTGGATTATTAACGACAACCCAATGTCAGTGTCTGACACACTAATCGCTCCTTGATATTCTGTTAGAATATCCGCGATCACCCGGTGGATTTCATCCGGCACATATTGTGGAACGTGCAATTCAAAAAGTAGGTCCCAAATCCGAACGTCAATCTGTTTTGTGTTCGCCTGTCTTGTCAAGTCGGGTGGAGGCGCCGAGATGAATGAATGATCCGATCGCCAGGAGAACACCGCGGCCATCATCTGGGCATCTTCTTCCCGGATTGCCACGTGTTCTTCACGGGTAATCCCGTCGCAAACATCCTGCCATGGCACTTTCTTAGTTGCAATCTTTATCCCCAACCCGTCTGTTTCTACTTCAAAACGCCTAGGGGGTTTCAGAAAGCTGGCTTCTGCCCCCAGGCGTAGCAATCTCACTTCTTTAGCCATTGTTAGTAAAGACCTAGGTAGTTCCGTAATGTCGCAATAATGCTTTTTATCGCTATACCTGGCGAGGAGAGGGGTGATCCCTTCGTAGAGAGTTTGAGGGGGTTCCGAGGAGTCGACCATCCTCGAAATCTGCACGAGGGGCTCCCCCAAGATCATCGCCTTGGTCCTTTGAATTTTTCGGCTGGTCAGTTGCATTGTTCCCGCTATCGTTTTGGGCGGCGGGTAATAAACGCGTTGTCGTACCAATTCCAAAATTTCCGGATCATCTTTGTCACTGCTTTCCGCATCATCAGTTGATGGCTCCCCTTTCGCAGGTTCGTCCCAGGAGATCATGCGGAGAGTCCCCGCCATCATCGGCGAAACCCGCGGAACCGCGTTAATAGTAGTGCGAAGGGTCAATCGCATGGGCACTGCGTAGGGTTTTCCTCCTGTATTTCGGAGGACGATCGATCGTCGTTCGAAGTCCAGGTTTGCTCGTAACGCCATAAGAGCAGGAAGTCTGAAAAGAACATCGTACGTATTAACATCTAGTACTACGACATCCCCAAACGCGTGTACTTTTCCTAATCAAAAGGCGACATTGGTCATTCTCCCCACAGTTTTAATCTTCTCCTCATCTGCCGAAACGAGCTGATCTTTCTCGGTGAGCATGATCAGGTCATTTTTGCTACCAGCTCTTTCGACCACTCTTAGTGAGATAGCCAACACAGCTGCTCTTGAATCTATTATCGCGTTGTAAGGAATTCCCCAAATTTCAATATCACATTCCGCGGACTTCCACGGAATCCGTTTAATCCGTAAGAAGTGATCGTCTTTCTGAATTAACCCCACCCATATTGGGTCCGGAGTGCTTGTTGGGTTTTTTTCCGGCGCGGGGCCCTTGGCTCTGGCACTTGGTGTTCGGGCGAGGGCAAATCGCTTTCGGTTTGCTTTGCGGTGCTGTAGCATTCGCTCATTGGCTTGCTCGGAGATCGAGAGTAGATGACCGATCGGTAGTGGAATCCGATGGTCCAAAGCTCGGATAATGTTTAATACATTGATTTCTCCTGTGACAAAGGTGGGTCCTCCCGACTCCATTTCTCCTAAGGACGGTCGCCACTCCGCCACTTCTTTCGGTTCTGGTGCTGGTCTGATTGTTCCGATCATTCCTAGTCCAGGATATCCCAGCGACACATATTGATCTAGCGGAATTAGCTCGGCGGCCTCTTCCGTGGTGGCCAAGGCACTTCCCCCACCCTCTACTTCTTCCATCAAGGCTCTGACTCGTCCAGGTCCATTGGCGATGGGGGCCGCAGCCATAGGTGCGACTCCGATCCGCTGTTGCGGGGGTCGGTGGGGGCAATCACGGGCTAGATGTCCGGGTTGATGAAAGGCATAACAAACATTCAGATTGTTCGCAACTCCTCCGAGAGCAGGGGCGGGGGCTAATCCTTGTTGCATCGGAGGGGCACGCACCACAATAGGTCGCATGTTCCTCATCATGGCTTCTAGCCGAGCATTGTGCTCTCGCTGTTCCTTTTTTATTTCTTGGATCAAACTAATCAAAGTTTTGGTTAGTTCGAAAATGGCCGCCGATTCGTTTGATCGTACAGGAGCCTCAACCGGCGGCGAGGGTAATGCCCTGACAGGCGGGGGCATAATAGGAGTAGAGATGCTTGGAGTCTCACTTAGAATTGCTCGTTTGGGGCCTATCTGGTCCATATAGGTGACAGTTCCTGATACAAATCGCATGTTTTCAAATTTGTTCTGCAAAACAACCAGTTCTGCTCTCGCTCGTGCGAGCTCGGTCACATCTCCGTCTCTAGGGTAGTCTTCTCCTTCCAGGAAGTTCGCTGCGAACTTCCGTTCCATTTCTTCCGCAGCAGCCATAATTTGTTGTAGCGTACGAGTGATGGGGGAAAACTGTTTTTGCAACTTAGTCCTTATTGTTCGACTGGGGAGTCCGTCAATGAACAGATCCCTCCCTACTTGCTCACCTCACTCAGTTTTTACGAACATCCTGTAGAACCGGTTTCGATATTCCGCAACGGATTCGAGCGGTTTTTGCACTCGGTCCTTGATCATGTACAATGCCTGCTCAGGGTGAACGTAATCAAATCGGCCCCTTACATAGGCACTATACCAAAGATGAGCGTTCGAAGGTCGGGAGATCCACCCATACATAGGTACTATACCAATGATGAGCGTCTCCTCCCATTCGAGCCGGAATGTTGATCTGTGCTTCATGATCATCGTACTGCTGTGCTCTAAGCGTAGCCAGCCATGCTCCCGCGAGATGGTGCTCCGGATCGAATAGATGGAGATCTTGTGGCATCATGGGAGCCCGTGCACGTGGGGCAGGTTGATTAGGTAAATTAGCATTTTGTTGCGGAACCGGATTTTGCACGTTGGCAACCATATTGGCTGCTCGTCGGTTAGCCGTTCTGCTTCTAGTGACGATAGGGTCGCGTCTATGCGTGTTCCGAGGGCGAGGTCGCCCACGGTTAGCCAGGTCGCCTAATTAACGTGCTATCAATCCTAAGACCCTAGCCACGTGTCGGGCTCCGATACCAACCTCACGCCCAGCGCGACTTCCTGATCGGAGTGGGATGTGGGCCTGGAAGTGCAAAACGGGGTGTGCCAAGGATTTTTGGGAAAGTGGGGGAGTCTTAAGGGTATGAATGCAACTAGGCGAATGAGGGGTGCGCGCGCAAGGCTCTCATGGTCCGAAGGGGCCGGGACCCTGTGGTCGACT